CTTCAACATTAACAGGTCAGTCCCGGATTTCGACCATAACCGCCCACATAGCCGTTATGACGAAAATAACACCTAAAATATTAGGTTCATGTTTACGTTAAATAGCCATATCGATGATAAATATATAATTTGTTAATAATTTGACTCGTCTCGATAAAACAAATATATTGTGTGAAAATGATCACAACCGGTAAAGTCAATTAGAAGTTACTCGATAAATAACAGACGCACGAAGGATTATAATATATAGGTAAAAAAAAAAACTATTTTGATAAGGGGATGATTGAGAAGCAGTTTGAGATTTAAGGGGTATTAAGAATACTCAATTTTATGAAATTGAAACCAAATTATATGATGAAATCTGAAAATCTTTCAAATAAAAAGATGAATAGAATCAATCGTCAGCTTCAACATTAACAGGTCAGTCCCGGATTTCGACCATAACCGCCCACATAGCCGTTATGACGAAAATAACACCTAAAATATTAGGTTCATTTTTACGTTAAATAGCCATGCTGCAGCTATATTATGGTTTTAGCACGAATGGATCGGCTCAACTATGGAAGGACCACAATTTCATAGAATACCAGCATAGAATAGCAGCTCAACGCTGCTGTGTTTCGTATGGTGAGTGTAGAGAACCGGAGACCTTTTTAACTGGAAACGAGTCATTCTATCTCAGTCTTCAGAGGTGACAACACATCTGCATTTGTTTAGTTTAGATGTCTATAGGCCACAGCATCCACCTACCATCAGGTGGACTGTATGCTCGTTTGTCACCCTTAAATAAAGGTAATATAAAATAAATAAGCATAAAAAGTTATTCCCAGAAGCTGAACCTACAATGCTTGCCAGTAACAATTTGGATATTTCATTTAAAATTTCACATTTTCTGTCACTATATCAGCGGTCGCGTAATTTGAATACGCATATTTAAGGCTTCACAACGATAAGAATGACTCAAATTTCGTATAGAATAACATAATTGAAACTCATTACTTACCTAAATAACTTTTAAGTTGTTTGACTATATATCTGAGTCATCAACCCGTAATGGCCCAAATAAATTATCGAAATCTGCCAAGCTACTGCGGGTAATACCGCAGACGCACCGTTAGTCTACCATGGCTAGCTAAACACAATATAATTTAATAAAGTGAAAAATTTCACTAATATCGAATGTCTATCTGAATCTATAGTCAGCAACACTTTTCCTGTGCCCGTGAGTCATATATGAACATTTCTATTATTTAACTATTGTGTCTATTTTGTAAACAGGGCAACGAGCACCAATTTTCTGAGTCACATCTGTAGAATTTTGTAAGTACAACCCAGGGTGTTGTCGCTGAGAAGGAAATGAATAATCAAATTGAAGACAAAGATTTATTATAAGATTTCTATTGTTTAGAATAATTGGATATAAAATGTAAAGGAAAATTTCATTACCGCCGATAAATTACACTTTATTAATAAGGTATTAAGTTTACACCCGGTTCTTGAGAGGCTGTCAAACCACTGGTCAATCAAATCTTGGGTTGCAGTACTTATTGGTGGTTGGGTTGTTGACTTAAGAAATGTCAAATCAATACTCAATAGTAAATTATACCGCAATTTTGGGTTTCTCAAAAGCAGATAAGCTCATTTTCATAGATCAGCGTTATGTCAAACGTCAAGTTACTGTTGGAGATTGGCATTTTAAGCAATAATCGTTGTGCTATAAGGTTGTGTAAGTAGGTTTTGGTAAGTTTTTCGCAGTTATAAGCATAAATTATTAAATTCGTATAAACAAAAATATTCAAATAATGTACATAATAATAATATATGTATAGATGCATAATATTACAAATCGTAAACAACATAAAATTCTATAGACTCAGTTTCAAGGCACTCCCCTTGTTGCCTGAGACAGTATCGGAATCCTCGGCGTCGACATATCGAGTGACGTGCAGTTTCATGGTCACTTGGAAGAGAAGGCCAAATTGGCCTCTAAAAAGCTCGACGTGCGTATAGAGCGGGACAGTATTTCATGCCGGCACACCGCCTGCAACTATACAAGGCGCAGGTTCGGCCGCACATGGAATACAGTTCCCATCTCTGGGTTGGGGCTCCCCAGTACCAGCTCCTTCCACTTGACCGAATCCAGCGCAGGGCGGCTCGAATCTTCGACGACCGAGTGCTTTCCGATCGGCTCGATTTACTGGCGCTGCGAAGAGATGTTGCATCTCTTTGCATTTTCTTTCGCATATACCATGGGGAGTGCTCTGAGGAATTGTTCGGATTAATCCCAGCCGCCAAATTTCGTGAACGCACTACGCGGCAAACGTCCCGATACCATCCACACCATCTGGATGCTTGGCGGTCCACCACTGTACGTTTCAAAAGGAGTTTTCTTCCGCGTGCGACCTCTCTGTAGAATAGTTTACCACCGGCGATTTTTCCGGACCGATACGACCTGGGGACCTTCAAGAAAAAAGCTTACTCCTTTCTAAAGGGCCGGCAACGCACCTTCAATTTCCCTGGTGTTGCCGTTGATCATGGGCGGTGCTAGTCACTTAACATCAGGTGAGCCGCATGCTCGTTTGCCCCCTCTTCTATAAAAAAAATATTCTTAACAAAAGGATTATTTATTACCTTAACAAGTAACCATCGTTTTTTAATTCTAGTGATTGGATTTTCCTGCAATAATGCTTGTGGCCAGGGGGAATCGCCTTCCAATGCCAAATGAACAAAGGTTATAAAACTATACTCGATTTTCAGATAGTTAATTAAATAGTTAGTTTAATAGACGTAATTTGTATTTATACAATCCTAACCGCCGTGGCATATTTTAGGACTAACAAGGAGAATGGGTATATTATAACAGTCTACATTACGACCCGAACAGCATCTTATTTGTAAATGGCTCAAATCCTAGGTCAATATTTGTGCAACAAATTATTGTAAACTAGTTTAGTATACTCTAGTAGATCCAAAATCGTAATCAACGAAAAGATTGCGGTAAGTTAAGTTACCAGCGGGACGGTTTTGCCTTTTATCTTATTTACCTGGAAACATTTAGCAACTGAAAATTCACATTTTACAAAAATACTAATATTGAATAGTATAACCATGTAGACACAGATTTTGAGTCTAAAAGCCTTTAAATTTTAGAGGATGTAACTTTCAAATTAGTTAGCTTGCTATTTATTGTTCTGGTGTAGATGTAACGCAGCATGAACACCCATTCATCACTGACTATCTAGACTTTCTTACGAGTACAAGGATGCTTTTATTTTCTATTTTGCCTATCTAGATGTTACCGTTTCAAATGAGACATCTGAAAAATCTTGATAAAAATAATGGAGATGCAATTTAAGTACCTACATAACGCGTCATTAAGAAGCGTGCCACACATCTTAATCTCGTACAAAATTTCTACTAATGATGTCATTGAACGAAAAATCAATCATACTTAAACCTGCTATCAAATATGATTTGCTTGATCATTTGATTTACGGTAATCATTAATTAAAAATACCACCTTGCACACCGACAAAGAGATTTTTCAATAAATTTTAAACACCTGTCGACAGTATTTTAAAAAAAACAACATTAATGCAAAGCTTCGATATTACAGTGATTGATATCACAAGTAATCTTTTATCGCCGAAATGTTAAAACACTTGTTGACAAGTCGTACAAGATAAGCTGATAGAATTCACCAGATGGGGACCGATAGTCAAAAGATTATGCAATACCGAATAGGTATAAGTATTAGCGATAAAAAAGACCTACATTCATTTAATTCTCACACAGCACAGTAAGGAATTACAAGGAAAAATGCCATAGGCTGCTAACATATTTAGGAGGAAAAAGGACGACAAACAAGACAATACAGTTTGCCACAGAAAGGCTTTGTCTCGTAGATACCCTACTTAGTACTTACCCGGCACGGAATAACTAATAGTACTCATCTTCGAAGAATCTGTCTTTCTCGGAAGCACAACACGAAACGTAGCAATATACACTTTTTCAGCTCTACATTTCTTTATAGAGCTGTAATCAATTAGTAGTAGTTAGCTCTGAAATATGGAAGTGCTCTTTTTCGTCCCCAAAAATAATTTAGGAAAAACGTAAAGTATAGGTGAACCACTATGTGAACACACGAACAACGAGTGTAGAGTAGCGTTCACACATCAACATATTGTTTAGAAAACATACTTGAAAATAAAATTTTATTTTATGAATACCTGTTACACCCGATATCCCGACACTATATTGTGTCAATTTGGTTATTTTAACTGGGACCAAATTAACTTAGCACAATCTTGGTATATAGTAGGTATATTAGTATAAATAGTCACATCCATCAAACCATTACCATACAGAGTTGCTTAGTAAAGGGGAAAACGGGATGAAAAGTTATGCTAATTTCCTTTAAGCAGTTATAACTTATTTTATTTTTTAAGTCGATTTTAAAATTTAAAAAGCCGATGTCTAAGTACACGCCGTAAATTTTAATTCCCTTCACCAACAATGAAATTGTTAATTGTATACGGGTTGTAATTTTGCTGTAAATAATAAAGTAATTAATACATGGTAGAGTCATGCTGCAGCTGTATTATGGTAGTAGCGTCAATAGATCGGCTCGCCCGGGGAAAGACCACGCACGCACGAACACAGAATACCAGCGTGAAATAGCAGCTTAATGCTGATGTGTTTCATATGGTGAGTGCAGAGAACCGGAGATCCTTTTTAATGGAAATGTCCATTCTATCTTAATCCTTGGGGTTGAAAACGCATATTGGGTTTTAATTCTTAATAGAGTACGAATATAGATTATTATAAGTAACAAAAACAGCATCCACTTACCATCAGATGAACCGTGTGCTCGTTTGTAATCCTTATTCTAGAAAACAAATATAAGTAATGACGTACTCGGATTCATTTAGTGCGAATAAGAAACTTTCAATTTTAAAAATTAGGACAAAGTAACAACTTACAAAACAATGACTACTCACTTCATTTGTTTTACTATAGTACTCTTGCCCGACTCTCCAGCACCTGTAAAAGGAAAGAAAGGGTTAAGTATACAAGAGTTATTTCATCCATCATTTATCGGTTATATATGTTACACACTTGACATCGTCTACTATGGACTCGTCGTCAAAATACACCTTTAATTAAACAATCTTGTTTTGGTAAATTTGTGACTCACACTACTGCACTATCATGACTTGAAATGACCCAAAAGGAGTCAATGTTTTGGAATGTTCTCTTTTTGAAACCGACGGTAAGTGATGATGGCAAGTCCATAATAAACGCTTGCTCAACCGCCGCACATAAAACGGCAGTGATATAAAAACGGTTAATTACCGAACGAATGTAAACCATTCATCTCGTGTTAAATGCATGTCTCACTGCTAGAATAAAAATAGGTTAGAAAATAAAACCGCAGAGCTGTGGAACACGCGTAGAAAACTTCGGCACACGTAAATGTTTTAGATTATTTTAAATTTTCGCGATTTTGTACATAGAGAACTAGAATTATGTGCGAACTGCATATAAAGCAATACGCCACTTTTATGTTCCAGCAAAGCTACATTACATCTTCGTGAATTTAAAGCATGATCAAAATGATCTCTTTCACGAGAATACTTAGTAAAGCTCGAGGCGCGCGAAAGACAACCTTACGAGGGGAAACCCTTGATTTAGAGCTAATGAGGCTGACCGAATTTATACATGCACAGTTAAAATGAACTACTTAAAAACAAAAACCATAAAAGAACAAAACTAGTCATAGTCATAGTATGTATATATCAGGTAGAAAAACAAACATTGGCTCAATTTTTGCTGAACCAAAATTGAGTATTACGCTCACCAAACCTCCAGGCCAACATAGTGGTTATGGATAAATGTTTCATGAAATACGTCATTTGACGCAACCTTAGATGCTCTAAATCCACTAGTGGGTTCAAGTTTAATTACGAAGAACTAGACTGGTGTATTTATTTTCAATTATTGATACTCATATTTCTGAGTTAATAATAAAAATACGTATGGCAATACACAATACTGTATAAGTCCGTATCTACCTCAATAATGAAAGTAAAGTTAATGTAATTTTAAAATTATCATGAGGTATATAATTAATAAGAAGTATGTTTGGGGTGACTCTATATATGGTGAGAAATTGCGTGATAGAAAAAATGTCGTTTGCAAGATTTTGTGACCAGGAAAATAGTATAGAATGCTTCCGTGGTTTGGGCACGTAGAATGCATGAAGAGAGTGTGACAAAGCCAACTTGTGGCCTTTCTTCATTAATTCTTCCTGCAGAAGTGGCATAGTCGGCAAGGGTCTAGACGGAAGTTTATCGACTCAAATTACGATATGTTGAAGATGGACAAAATTAAGAGCGCCCTTAACCGATGACCATATATGCGAAAATATATGGATGTGAAAAAATCGAAAAAGGTGAATCAGAATCGTGCCAAATGGAAGAGCGAAATCCCTGCCCTCTAGGCGACACGGGTGAAAGTTTATGCATGTATGTATTGTATGTATGTTATTATTTTTTAATGGGAAATTATAAGTCTTATAGTGTTGACTTCTTTAGCTCTTTTCTAAGAATAACTTACTTTAACAAAATGAAATAAATGTTTGATACTCAGTTATAATATAGTAATAAACTTCTTTATTTCATTTAACCTTTGTCGAGCTCCAGATATGTTTCACACAATTATACCTAGCTCGTATAATGAGTTAGGTGGGCGTCGCAAAACGAAGCCTGTCAAATACGGAACGGGTCCCGAGAATCCTGACCCCAGTCGTATCTAATTGGCCAGCCAGCGCGAACGGCCGATCTCTGACCCCTCGATACACATATTATCACTTACACTGAGTCGGTCTTCTCATTTTCCGATTTAGTGTAACTATTGCAGCATCAAATACCAACTAGATAGTTTCTGTAAAGTTGTATTTGGTCATAAAACTTGTCTTTTATATAAAAATTATACGTGGTAGAGCCACTATACTAGACTACTAGAGACTACAATTATATTCCGGTTGTAACACGAATGGATCGGCTCGACCGGGGAAGGATCACGCTCTCACAGAATACCAGCGTAAAGTAGGAGCATAATGCTGCTGTTTCGTGTGGTGATTGTAGAGATCCGGAGACCTCTTTTACTGGAAACGAGGCATTTCATCTTAGTCCTCAAGAGTGACAACGCATCTGCATTTTGATTCTTAATCGAGGATAGATGTGGATGTCCATAGGCTACAGCATCCACTTACCATCAGCTGGACTGTGTTCTCGTTCCCTTATTCTATAAAAAAAAAACAATTGCCGTGCGTTAGTCCCACAAAAATTCGAAAATGGCTCGATCTATTTCAATAAATTTTTGGATCCGGAAGATGGTGCTGTTGTCAAGATCAAGAAATCACCCATGCGAAACCGGGGCGGATTGCTAGTTTGAAATAATAATTCTGGGTATACGTAAAAGTCTCCTTAAGGTTACAATTCCTGTGCATGTATTATTCACGCATGATAGATAATAACATCTTTCCATACAATTTGTAATTCTCAGTGTTTATTGCGGCTTCAAATAACAATCTATTCCGACTTCATAAAGCGTTACTAACCAAGGCGAAAGTATGAAACGGAAAAACTTTCACGGAAATATGAAACATCAATATTTTCATACGAATATTTTCTTTGCCGTAGATAGAAGTCGACAAGCCGGCCGAAACAGTGTTTTTGTGATATCATCGTGATAAAATCGACGATCGCATGCTCGTGATACAAGAGCTGTCTTGTACATCCGACGCCTCTTCAACGTTAACATAGTGGCATGTTGATCGAATTAAGTTTGAGATGGTTTAATTAGTTTTCAAGTTCAAAAATGCAATTATGTTGCTATATGAAGTGTTATAGACTAAAATAGTAAAAATAACGCTAACTCTATGTTTCATTTTGCAACTTTTACTATAAAAATTAGTCTATAATGAATTAATATTTAAAACGTGGATTCCGTGCAGTTTGAAGGCCCTAGCAGAATTTGACAAGGACAATTTCACATTGGCAGTACACCTTTCACAACCCTTATCGTAATTTTAACTTCTTATCTCCGTGAATAAATGATTTATCGAACTAAAAACAAAAATATAATTTGGTGGCGGCGTAAGCCAATCCGCTACTTCATATCAGCTGGTAGTGGGTGCAAACTCAAACAGGAGATAAATAGGACCATCTTCCTGATAACTAATTAACAACAAAAATCTGTGGGTACCTTAAGCACAGAAAACAACTAAGGCACTAAGATTTGAACCTGTGATTGGCTGTTATCAATGAACTTTAAAAATACAGATTGTAAATTTTTTGGAGTAGTCATGAATCTATGCCAAGTTTTGTGAAACAGCAAGTGTTTTATTATTCAAGAGTTAAGTATACTATGTAAATGTATTTTACTTTTACGGAAGATGTTTTCTGATTGACCTTTTTTTAATGATTTTTTTTTATTTTAATACTATGTGATTTTATCTTTTCTCTGTTAAACTGGGTGTTTCATTTTTGTCATTGAAGTATTTATGCAATTATACAGAAAAATGCCAAAAAATCGGAAAAAAAATAATTTATATAACTGAAGTCTTATTACTTCTACACAAATATTTTTCCATGCATTTATAAATTACGTTCTAAGTACTCTGAGCTCTCTGAGTAATTATTTTCAATAAGTAATGAGCTACTGCTACAGGACTAAGAAAACAAGAAAATATACCGTACATGTTAATTTGTAATATGGATGCACGATTTTTTATTTTGAAATCCTTTTTTATTCATAGGTATGCATTTAAATCCATGTTCACATTGCATCACAAGCTTTTTAAATAACATCTCGTAAAATTCAGTTCAAAAATTACAATAATATAAGGTATATGGTGCAAGACTCAACTTTAGCAAACCCAAGGCATTCTTTAATATAAGTAAAATCTCTCTTTATTATTGAAGTGTTTACATTACCTCCTTGAAGCTTAGACCTATTATAATTTTTCTTTACTTAAAAATAAATCACAGTAAAAATAAAAATTTTGAGACCAGTGCTGAAAATTGGAATTGGAAGGTTTGTGTATATACACACCACACTAGACAATTGGGTTGGCTGTGAAGAGCATCAGCTGTCTGTGACATTAAAATTCAGCATTTTTATATATATATATATATATATATATATATATATATTTTCCCTTAAACTGGTGCAATGCAATAGCAAGGTTGTGACAGGTGACATTTAGGGGGAAAAGCTGCAAATTACCCTTTACACTTATAATATAGAAACAAAAAAAAACTAGAAATTTTCTCAAATATACAAATTCATTTTATCTATTGGCATTAAATCATTCATCATAGATTTGATGTAATCACCATGCCTGGTATACAATTTGTCTAAGGCAGTAGTGCCAGACGTCTCACACATTTCACGCTGCTATACTCTAGAGACACACAGCTGTTGCTGGTTTTTGGTGAAAAAAAAGTTTGCTAACATTGTAATAGCCTCACTAAAATGAGAGGTCTGTAACCAGTAGTGGGATGTAAAGAATCTATTACTTTAACAAAAAATATTAAGAAGATGAGTATTGCCTTTTATAGTTACTTATAAAATTACCTAATATAATTATAGAAATAATACAAATATTGGCTTTAAATTTATGAATAGTAATTAATACCTCAATCATAATTTACTTTCGAATCAATATTTTATAAATTGATTTAAATATTTAATGTTAATATAAGAATAAATTTTTGAAGGTTGGTTGCATAGTTATTTTTGTAGGACATTACAAAACAATAGAAAACCGATTATTCAATTCGTGATTAATATTTTTAGGCACAACATTTTAGACTTTTTTAATGTTGTGTATATAAAATGTTGACATGTATAAATGAAAGTTAAGATAGTTACTTATGATTATTAATGGCCTTGCTTATTATAATGAAATCTAAAATATTTAGTTTATATTTAATTTAATATTTTTAAATCTCATTTAACATCTTAGAAAATAGTGTCCAAAAATATTTGCTCATTAAATAAGCACAATATTTAAAATGACTGTGTAAAACTTAGTTTTAAGTAAATGCCATTTATAAAATTTGAGATCCATTAACTTCAAATAATTACATTGAATATGTAATACTTTCTCATTCTTAAACATTTTAGTGCCAATGAATCATGATTAACCTACTAATTCATTTGGAATGACTACCTACTCAATTTTTATTTTTTTGGTCTAAAATGAATCATTAGTTAATATCTCATTATGCTAATGAACAGAACATATTGAATAATATTCAGTGATAAATAGGTTTCAATCCCATTATTGCAACAAAAATGACTGGTTTAAATTAAGTCAGTGAAAGGCCAAATTCAAGTTATCTTTTAATTTCTGTTCTAGTTTTAAAGCATTTCAAATATTTTATAAATTTTTTCTTTAGGGATTTTATTACTACAAAAAAACAAAATGCTTGCAGAATGGCCAGTAATATCTAGTGGTAGATAGAAAAAATGTCATGAGAAAAAAATGTCATCCAGACAATGTTTTTTTTAAACGGAGTCTAGTCATCGGTGCAGGACAGGATTATAGTGCTCAAGTGTATGCGTAAGCATAGGTGCACTCTCTTTTCTCTTATTCTCACAGTCTGATGGGATGGTAAACCGACACAACTGGAAAGAGACCATGTACAGCACTTATGGCTTTACATACTTTCCGAGGCAGGGGGTGAGACACCGCCAACTACCTGACTCGGGGTAGCGACTGCAATTTTTTTGATGGAAAACCTCTACAACAGATTTTATTTGGCCTGACCCGGTATTCAAACCACACCAATTGTAATAAAACTTTACGAACAGACATAAAGCAATAACAAGAGTGATGTAAATTATATTTCTTCTGAAAAGCAGGCAGGATCGTTTTTGTAAAATCCAAAGATAGAGTTAGATTTGCAATGTTTGTGTAAAAAAAATTTTTTTCACAAATAAAGTCCCTACATTTTATCTTTAACTCATAAAGTTTTACTTTAATATCCACTACAGCTACCTATCAAAGTCCACAGCTGGACACTGGCCTACCCATAGATTGCCTCATAAGGGGAGATATTAGCCATTATTGCCACTATTGGCAGGCAGGTTGGCAGCCACAGTATTTTTTTATCTCTAGATTTCATCACCTCTTATGAGACATGGGGCGATGTGGGGTAGTGGATACTCTTACACCGCATGGTATACTGTAGCATCATTTTACAACTAAACTATGGGCATGACTGTTTTACATGAAATTAATAAATTTTAATTTTTTAGGAAATAAACAGTTTAAATGGTGTTTCGGTAATTGAACGACTTTCCTAAAGGCACAGATTATAAACATGCGGAGTTTTTGTTTAAGTTCTATATAGGCTCTACGGGTAAAAGCTAGTTAGATACTATATTATAGATACAAACAAAATTATTTTTATATACATATTAATATAAAGGTACAGACTACAACATAATATACTTAAATAATGTTGTCTATAACTAGCAACTTGCCCCAACATTGCCTAAGTGGGATCTATTAAAATGGTGTTATTCAGATTTAAAATAAACATAGCAGACCATTTATTTTATTTTAATCTACTATGTTTTTCGGTAAAATATAGCTTATATGTATATGTATTATGCAATAGCGATCTGCTTCGGCTTCGCACGAGTGATTTCAGGACCAATTCCAATTGAATATTAAAGCCGTCCATAAACCCACTCAAATACACACAAAAAAATTCTTCAAAATTGATTGTGCCATTTTATATATGTAGACAAAAGATCTTAGTATTTTTTTTATAGGATAGGCTGACCAACGAGCACACAGTCCACCTGATGGTAAGTGGTTTCTGTGGCCCATAGACATCTACATCTATCCTCAATTACTAATCAAAATGCAGATGCGTTGTCACCCGTGAGGACTTAGATAGAATGCCTCATTTCCAGTAAAAAGGGCCTCCGGTTCTCTACACTCACCATACGAAACACAACAGCATTAAGCTACTATTTGACACTGGTATTCTGTGAGTGTGGTCCTTCCCCGGTCGAGCCAGCCCATTCGTGCTACAACTATACTACTAATATAACTGCAGCATGGCTCTTCCACGTATAAATTTATAATATATATGTAATAGTTTCTACCACTCTTAAATACTTCTATTAGCTATTAACTTCTAATTATTTTTATAAGAGTAAAAATAGCAAATCAATGCCTATGCAGAAATGCTCACATATAAATACATAAGGAAACACAATGCAAATGAGACAAAAGAGAACTGATTACTAATCTTCTAATTATTTAAGCCATTGGTACTTTCATTTGTTCACGGAACGAAAGCGTGTGTCGGAATTCTGATAAATTACGATACAAACTTGGAAGGTATGTATTTGGTTCAAATTTTATAATATACATATAAGGAAATGATATGTAAATTCACTGTGCCTATTTAATATTTAATTTCCTAAATGCATTAATCGCCGTTACGGAAACGTTTGTGATTGCAAATTCAATTTATGGGTGCGGCCATGTGCCGCAACACCAGACATTTGTGTTGCTTCGTACCTAGCAGCAACAGTTTAATGTCTTTGGATGCTTGGATTCCATCGTCTTTCAAACTCTTTTCGATCGCCTTGCTCCGAGCTGCCGCCGCGCGCTCCTCTGCCGATTGCGCGCACCCCATTTTGGCAGCTGTCTGTGTGCCTGATCCGCCGTCCGCCCCGACTCCAGAGCCGGGCGCACTCTCACCGCTCTCTCTGCATACGCTCCACACGCGTCCTGCCGCTCCGGCTTTACCGGAGCCACCCTACACAATATTAGCACCCAACACAGTAACCTAATCGTAACACTTATCACTCTACGATTCCTAACCCACAAAATTTGAAAACGGCTGCACTATTCCAGATTTCACAATTATCCAATGCACTTCACACTGAAACGCGTAACGACAGCGTAATTGATTTTATGAATCTGTATGAGATAATGGCGGCCGGATGACAAGCACCAGCTCCACTCCGTGACGACTGACGGCGACCGCGCCCCGCTCGACTGACGTTCGGGTGCGTTCGGTACTTTTCGTGCGAACTCGCTCACACATGCGTGAAACTGATTCATACACGAAAGAGAACATAAATCTACAATAAATACGCGAATTTAAAATAAATAAAAGTGGAACAAATACATTTAAGGCAATATATATTAATTTATTTTAATGTACATTAAATATTTCTTAAAAAACGAAACTAATCGAAAATATTAGTGTGAGGACACTACAATTTACCCGTGTATCATGGAGGGGTTTTATGTACATTAAATGTTAGACCCGGAATGATTGTTTGATATATAAATCAATGGTTTGTCAGGCCAGAAAGGCATGTTCCGAGCAGGAATGGCCCACGGCCCGCACCGCCGAAGTCACTTGTATCGAGCCTTCGAAAATAATTATGTTACGTTATCCAACTTGAGAAATTGGGAAAAATATAGCTGTAAAAGCTTTTTTAAAACAAATCTGTTTTACTGTACATATAAAAAAGTCAAATTTTGCACAGTTGAATCTGTTTTAAATAAAAAACTAGATGTAGACTCTTTTACCTTTAAAAACAATTATATCTATGTACATAGGATGGCTTTTTGTACCTATTAATTAAATATAAAAAATAATTATATAAATTAAATCAAATTATATATAATTATATAATGGTATTCCGAATGAGTGAGTTCCTAGTGAGTGAGAAATATGTTACATATCCTATTATTAGAAGATATTTCTCAAAAGCTGGGGTTTTCTGTTTTTGTTAGCGAAGAGGATCAATTATCACACAGTTTTAATTATGGCTTTTCTGCATCGTGACGAAAAGCGTTGAAATCAGTAATAAAAATACCGGATCAACAAGCACAAATATTGTTGAATCGTGCCAGGGCTATCTGAAACGCAGTCGATAGAGCTCCAGTAGGAGTGCGCGCGCAAAGCAAACGAAACAAGAGCGAGAGAGAAACAGGCTCCATTACCGAGGAGCAGCAGCTTGATGTCCTTGGCGGCTTGGATGCCATCTTCCTTAAGGTTTTTTTCAATTTGCTTGCTACGTGCTAAGGCAGCACGTTCCTCAGCGGACGAAGCGCAGCCCATGGCGATGGCGCGCACGGCGTGGCTCGCTACGCGCGGCAGCGCCGTGCTCCGTACATGCTCGCGGCTCGTCGTTGTGCGCAGGTGGCGCCGCGTACGCGCTCGATCGCGCACGCGTACTTTTGTGCTATTCGCTCGCGCTGTAGCGCAATGAAATTTTGTTCCCCGTCTTTTCCTTTCCCAGGACGCGAGTGGACGCCTTGCTCCTCTACGAAATAGAGGTGACGTCCCACTGTGCACTCGCGAACGAATGACGGTCGGCGCATTACTTCCCAACGGGAACACTGCGCAGGCTCGTGTGCCTCCGCCTCCACCAAAGTAACTGATGCATGCCGACTTCCCGCGCCCTTTGCACCCCGACCAATTAAACCCTGCGACAACCTTGGCCATTTGCAGTTCATACTTGAATTGATCTAAAAATAAAATGAAAAGTGTAAGTATTTTTGGATAATTCGTAAATATTTGACTATCCAAACAGTATGATCTTTATACGTTTATATAATATGTTATATTATTGATTCTGCATTCCCAGCAGTGGATTATTATAAAATGTTTATGACGGGATCATAATACATTACCGCGACTTATCGGCTGACAGAGTCTTTCCCAAGATAAAACAATTTAATTGCCTTGACTATTACGCTTGGCAAGCAAATTGATATCATAAATTCATTCAAAGTAGGTACAGGTACCTCTTAATTATGTCCTTAATTAAACAACAGCATAAATTTAGTTAGGCTAGTTTAGTCAAGAGCCCTGACCTCTCTGGAAGGGTTCCCGCCTTGTCGTGGGCAAAGAGAGAGGGCTCCAAGTTGGCTTGACGAGCATTCTTCGAATGGATGTTGCATGTTAGTTGACTACAGCGGTAGAGGAGTTTTCTTTCGTTGCCTGCTTTACCCAAGTCGGAGTCACAGAAAAAACAGAAAGTTGGTACAACGACCTGCCACTCGCCCTATCCTCCTTGACTTTTGCCATGCCTTGCGGCTGATTCGATTGTGGTGGGGCTGTGGAAAAAGGAAGAGTATTTATTATTATATATACTTGTTATATTATTGGTCTTGCACGATTTCTTATATTTACGTAAACACTACACATTGAAGAAAACTACTTTTACGGATTTTATCGCGTTTGATTTACTTAATTTTATTTCCTCACATTTTATTTAAAGTAGACATTAGTTTTGTGAAGTGCCGCTTGTACTACCCACTGTGGCCGAAACTGGGTCCACCAGTGGGACCGGGAAGCACTATCCTTCTCGGAAGCTCTCGTAGAAACAATCCATCAATGGCGTTATTGTTGTAGTTTAATTATAGAATGTCCATCTTGTACAGACCTTCTTGACCTTTACATGTTTTTTTTTATATTTGACTCCAAACCAATGCCTAAGATTGCTCAATGTCAAAGTCAAAATAATTTTATCGAAATTGGCGTTTACAAAGCACTCGCTTTAACAAGTCCCTACTGCAAGAGGTGACTGTTGCTCATAAAGTCCCGGGTTCGAATCCCGAGTCGAGCCAAATTCAGTTATTGGGTTTACTTTATTTGGCAAGAAATTCTCAGTAGCAGCCTGGAGTTAGGAGTTTATTAGAGTTATCCCCGTGCCTCGATAAGCAGCAACTTTTTTGTGCGTACACTTGTATACGATACGTTTATATTTAAAACAATTTAAATGTAAACTACTAAATGTATGCTTTTCAAAGTATTCTTCATTTCATTTTAAACAACTTTTCATTCGTTCAAACCATTTTTAAAATCATAGCTAGACCATTGGTCTAAAGTCATGTTTTTCACGTGTTGGTTGGACGCTATCACGGCCTCTTATGTTAAACCTTTCAATCAAATCTTTGATTTTTAGGAAAATGAAGAAATCGCATGGGCTGAAGTTTAAACTGTGTTCGGTATTGGTTACTAGCTCTATCTTTTCAGAAGCCAACAATGGCTCGCGGTGTGCGTCGTAGCATGATGGTAAAATAGGATGCGAATTCTTGGTCGTTTATCCCTATCTTTTTTTTAAAGACACTGGACTAACAAATGGTGGTGTAAGTCAGTATTAAATATCTTTCGCTGTTCATCAAATGGAATCTTGCAAGCAGAACTCGTATAGGAGAAAAAAACAATATTGACTGTTCATGTCTTTCTCGAATACAACAATTTTATGTTTCATCTCATGTCACAATACACAGGCATTTGAACATCCATGATCATACTTTAACATTTTTCACACCAATCAACTCGAGTCATTTCTTGTTTTGAGGTGACTTCACGAGCAATCCGGGAACAACAAAGTTTTCTAACTTTTCAATCATCATCATCAGCATTCATAATTACATCCCTTCACAGGACAAGTCCACCGCTGAACGGATCCGAGCCACCCGCGTCCATTGACTTCCTGTATGTCTTACCGGTCGACATTCTATCTATTGTAGTGGCGGGCCGTTCTACCCTTCGCCTACCGGCACAGAGTAAATAGTAGTACTACGTACAGAAGTCGCACTCCTTTGATGTTGAATTGTTGACTGCTTTCCGACGTTTAACAGCCTACATAATTATAATTAATTAGATAAATCAAGCACGCAAGCTAGATAAAACTTTAAGGCTGCGTGCGAGTCTTCATATTACTTTGCATCTTTTCTTCTTCCTGCGTCACGGCGGACTTTCCATGGTTACACTTGGATGTCAATAAAGAGTAAAAAAATACATTGCGAAATGTTACACCTAAGTCATACTAACCTATTCTAAATATGATCGAATGACCATATTTTCGCACCAATGTGAGTTTTGCGATGCCAGTAGTTACGTTGTACCAGTTCTGGCGCACTTGTAGAAAGGTTGTACCAGTTCTGGCGCACGATGTTCGTCGACTCACAATGCTTAAAAAAAAAAAAAAAAGGTTTTGGCATGCTCTGATCACGAATCTGCGGTCCATTTTTGCGCAGGATGCATGGTTCCGGAGATGTGCAGATCAATTAACTCTTATCTAATTGATATCCGCTGCAAGCCTCAACCGTCATTAGCGCTCCATTGTCCTTATCTACTTATCTATTGTTGATTGACTACCGTCATTATCTATTATTCGTCCAGCGTGTGGGTCGGCTTATGCTATTGTATTATACTCCTTTGTTCCTATCTACAACACTAATCTGAATCATCAATAAAACACATTACCTAATTTTGTTAAAATTTTTATTTATAAAATACAAAATCTTATTACTAATATTAGGAGCGAAACATCTCATCCACTAACATATCGTTGTACAATGTGTTCTCTGTAAATATACTCGTAAAACTATGCATTGAACATCCCTGAAACTTATATAGCAAATACATTAAGCAATATTCGCCACAAACTGAAGTCCTATCAACATTCCAGTTCCATCTTTTAAACACATTACCTAATTTTGTTAAAATTTTTATTTATAAAATACAAAATCTTATTACTTATTATCTATAAAATAGGAGCGAAACATCTCATCCACTAACATATCGTTGTACAATGTGTTCTCTGTAAATATACTCGTAAAACTATGCATTGAACATCCCTGAAACTTATATAGCAAATACATTAAGCAATATTCGCCACAAACTGAAGTCCTATCAACATTCCAGTTCCATCTTTTACAATTTCATACAGGTGCCCGTCCATATGAATCAAAATATTCACCGACGTCATTCGTATCGATATATAAAGCTACCCAATGTGACCCTGGTTTATCATCTGTACCCAAATTGCATATTACCTAGTCAGGTCATAAATTCTATCACATGTTTAATGTAAAATAATTGAAACAAGTTTATTCATTATGTAACCATTTATATACCAAAATGAACTTAACAAAACATAAATTCTTATGACACTATAGTTTATTCAAAATGACCTCCGTAATTTTAAATACAGGCCTTCAATCTGCGCGGCCAGTCGTCTATCTCACCACGAACGAGGTCCATGTCATATCGGCGGCTGCCTTAATTAAAGATGTCTTGAGTGACTCGAAATTGGGATGAGGCTTTGAGCACGCCTTTTCCTCCAAGTGTTACCATATCTTGTAATCTAACGGATTCAAATCTGGACTGGTCTTTGTGTCGGATGAAGTCGATTTCACGCGCCGCCAACCAGTCTTTTTTTTTTTTTTTTTAAAGAACGTTACCTCCACACTAGGTTTTTCTCCTGTATCGTGGGGGCAGTTTACAAACACAAATTTCACAAGGACAAACATCCAAACTCGGAACAATTACTTGTAGGTCGTACAAATACTTGTTCCGTGCGGGATTCGAACCCGCGACCCCCAAGCGCAGCCACTCATTGCTAAGCCGCTGAGCCACTACGCCACGGAGCTGTCAAAAGTCTTGTGTGCTCTTCGCTCTATGAGCTGACGCCGAATCTTGTTGGAATACCCAGTGCCTGTTATTGAACATGGTATGAGAAACAGGTTACACAAGGTTGGAAAATGACCTCGTTGGACACGCGGAATACGGTTGCTCGCTTCTTCACTACTGTGTGCGTACACCTTATCATTTTGTTAGTTGTAGCTCTCTTCTACGGTAAAAATTTTTTTATCCGAAAAAAAGAATTTCCCGATATTTTTTTCCCGCGTACCGTTTCACCAAAGCGCGGCATCTCTTCAGTCTCAGATCCATTAGACGAGCATCCAAACGATGTCCTGTTTTTCTTCGATATGCCCGAAGCCCTAAGTCTTTATTTAACGCCGTGGTTCTGCTTAACCCCATCTGAAGGGCCAACAGTTTCTGCTTACGTTTGGGATTTCTTTGAATTCGCACCTTTACAGCTTTTATCACTGCTGGAGTCCTAACAAATCGAGGGCGACCACTTCTTGACCTGTCATCTACACTAGAGTCTTCATTGTATCGTTTGATGGTACGATAAACGAATCCTTTGGTTATATTCAAATTTTTCAGTATATCAAAAAATTTAATTGGCGCGTAATCGCAACTGCAACACGGTCTTTTTTAAGCGTCCACTCCATATGTAAAAATGAGTAAAATTCTAAAAAGTATACAGTTTTATTTTCATGAACAATTCGAATTCAATAAACTTTTTTGTGGCCAGCATTCTAAAAGAAAAATTTTTACTGTGTGACAATACTTATGACCTGACTAGGTATATACGTTGGTACGTGGGTGTACATGGGCAGTCTGTTAGCAGCATAAACATTATTTTCTAGACTGGGGTGAATCTTTTTCAGATGTTGTTGTACATCTAGTGTATCCATGATATTACTGCTATTAGTAGATTACTACAGTACAATCTACTCAATGACTAACATAGGAATGATCAATTATGTGATTTCTAAATATTAAATTGCATTTTTTCTGTTATACAAAATGTATTTGAGTCATCAATACACTGAATAAGACGCAACACGAAGAATGTG